GCTGCTGGCCGCTCACGCTGGCTGCTGGCTACACACGGTAGCCCATGGCAAGCCACTGCCACAGGGACTGCAGCCCACGCCATCACCGGCGACTCACAGCAGCCCAGCTCCAGGTTGAGCCGTTGTTCAGCATCTTAGCTGTAGAGGGCAGTGTCACTGGCCCTCATATGTGGGATCCGAACCGGGGCCCTCTGGCATCCCAAGCGAGTTCTTAACCATCGCGCCACTCGGCCGGCCCCTTGTCTGTTTTTCAAAGGTCATTTATTTATATAAAGAACAAAGATCAATCAATGATATATTGCCCGTTTTGTTCAATAACCTTTTGCCATCTTTCAGTGAGCTTCATAATTCCTCGTTCATAGGACCTGTCTTTATTTGCGAAAAACTGAACAAGGTGTTGATTTGCAGCCTCATCTGAATTGAACGTTATACCACTCAAGGAGTTTTGAAGAGAGTGAAACAAGTCAAAATCTGACAGTGCAAGGTCAGGCGGGTATGGTGGGTGTGGCAACACATTCCATCCAAGCTCCAATAATTTTTGACGGGTGATCAAACTTGTGTGTGGACTCACATTGTCGTGATAGAACACAACTCCTTTACAATTGACAAGCTCTGGATGTTTCAGGATGATGGATTTGTTCAAACTGTCCAATTGCCGACAGTACACATTTGAGTTGATTGTTTGGTTCCTTGGTAGGAGTTCAAAAAACACGACACCTTTAAAATGCCACCACACTGAGAGCATAACCTTCTTCTGATGAATGTCTGCTTTCGATGTCATTTGAGGCAAATCATCACGTGGGGACCAAGGCCATTTGTGCACCACATTGTTGTAAACAATCCACTTCTCATCACCAGTTATCCGGCGCTTCAAAAAAGAATCGTTTTTCTCACGTTTAATGAGCATATTGCAGATGTTTATACACGCTGTCAAACGAACTTCTTTGAGTTCATGAGGAACCCAAATATCGAGCTTGCTTATGTATCCCAGCTTCTTCAGGTGGTCATGAATGCTTGAATGATGGCTGTTCAATGTCTCTGCAGTCTTTTGTGTCATGTAACATGGATTTGACTCGATCAATGCCTTTATTTTGTTTTCATCAACCTCAGTGGGCCTCCCTAACCGAGGAGCATCGTTGAGATCAAAATCACCAGTGCAGAATTTCGTGAACCATTGTTGGCACTGACATTCTTGTAAAGCATTGTCACCGTAAACCTTATGCAAATTTTCACAAGCTTGATGCGCGTTCTTCCCTTTATGGAAGTAAAACCGTAAAATGTGGCAAAAATGCAGTTTGGTCTTCCATCTTCAACTTGTAAAATCTCCAAAACTCAACCAAATCACTCAATTTTTTTTTAGAATGAAGCTAGAACTGTCAGCTGTCATATGACATAGCAATAACATAGACGTGAATGACTCTAGTACTTCCAAAAATGAACTAATGCTATCTGTTGCAAACATGTGTCATGAGTTTTCCAAAGACTCAATAGCTGAAATTTTCAACAAAAATAAGTTTTTAAAGTGCTATAGTTTTTCTTTTTAAACAATGAGAAATGCTCCCTCAATTGGCTCTACTAGGCACCATTCAATTCAACTGAAGTTTGCTGTGCTGTCAAGGGACTGTGATGGGCCCATATAAGTGCTCACTCACAGGGGCTTTACCATTCTAGAGAGGGAAAGAGATATGCACGTAAATGACTATGCACCTAAATGATGACACACAAGGCAGGCCTGAGATGTGCCCAGATGGTCTCTAAACCAAGGGCTATGGGAACATCCCAGAGGAAGATACATGAATTCTTAATTCTTCTTCGGATAGGAAACACTCATTAAAGGCAGGACTTTTTTCTTTCTTTTGTCCCCCCCACCCCATATACAATGGGTAAAAACAACTGGTTGTCTAGATGGCATAGCTGGAAAAATATGTAACCCAGACTCAGAAGACCCAAGACTATCACAGACATATTTCTTATAAGCTATATGAGGTGTGGCAATTAAGTTTGCGAACTTGTTGCAATGATATTGCTAACATTTTTTGATATCAGAGGAATTATTCATTATGAATTTGAACCAACTGGATAAACAGTTAACCAAGTTTACTATTTGGAAATGCTGAAAAGGCTTTGTGAAAAAGTTACACCACCTGAACTTTTCGCCAAAAATTCATGGCTCTTGCATCACGACAATGCACCAGCTCACAAGGCACTGTCTGTGAGGGACTTTTAGCCAGTAAACACTATGTTGGAACAGCCTCCCTACTCACCTGATCTGGTCCCCAGTGACTTCTTTCTTTACCTGAAGATAAAGGAAATATTGAAAGGAAGACATTTTGATGACCTTCAGGACATCAAGGGTAAGACGACAACAGCTCTGATAGCCATTCCAAAAAAAGAGTTCCAAAATTGCTTTGAAGGGTGGACTAGGTGCTGGCGTTTGTGCATAGCTTCCCAAGGGGAGTGGTTCGAAGGTGACCATAGTGATATTCAGCAGTGAGGTATGTAGCACTTTTTCTAGGATGAGTTCACCAACTTAATTGTCAGACCCCTGGAAGAACTTCAAGAAAATCATTTGCTACAGTGAACACAATACTTGAAACTTTCAATGAAGATTACAGTGAAGGATGGCAGGGAGTATTCCTTTTCAGGAAAATAACGTGCAAAGTCTATAACTTGGAATAGAATACAGGAGGGTCAGCATTTTAGATCTGCAAATATGAGCTATAAGAAACAGATAACACAAGGAAAAATAACTAAGTGGTACTAAAGCAAAATTTATAACTATTGTCCAAACTTCATTAATTCGATCTGAGAATGACTGCTACCCACATTCCAATATATTTTTGCCAAAGTAAATGCCTGACTGTAAAAATAGAATGCTGTTCTTTGTGCTAGTAAGAATTTAGCACTTGTCTGGTATTTCAAATAAAATTTTACATAGTCTTTATTATTATAATAAAAAACAAATAGAGGCTAATGAAAATACAGAATTATTTTAAAACATTAAAAAAAGGTGCTAGATTCCACTGATAAACTATATGGGGAAGAAATAAACCAAAAGGTGAATGGTGAGGAAGAAATTAGTTCTGAAAATCGTGGATATTCACTATAGCATAGTTAATTCATAGCCAAGAAAGTTCACAGTAAAAATGATACTGGAAAGCTCCACATGTTGTGCTTGAAAAATTAAGTATGAAATTAAGAAATTTAATAAAAATTAGGTAAATGAACAAATGTCTTATTTCAAAGGGGAGAAAAAAACAGCTGGGCTAAACTAGAGTTAAATTACATAAAAACTCAAAATAAAAACGATACAGCCTATTTAGGGAAAGGAAAGTTGTGTCCAAATTGGTAAAGTTGAAAAAACTTTTCCACAGTAACCTGAAGAGTTCCTGCTGAATTCTCTCTTCTATGTCACTTCCCAATACATTATCCCTTTTAAAAAATTACTATTATAACAATTATTAGATCCTAAGAATTTCATTACATATACTGCAACTTAAAACCATGGGGAAATATTTTTAGGAGAAATAAAGTCTAATAATCCCCATATAAACTTGAGGGCATACACTGTTCTACTTTAATGAAATACATCTCTCTCTAGTTAATAAGGAATGCCACAAATAGAGAAAGGAGGGGTTCATAAAAATGGGATCCCAGCACAAATCTCAATGCTCATTAATGTTTGTAAAATCCTCACCCTCAACCAAAAAGAAACCTAAACACACACAAATAGGCTATTCCAATTTAATTCTGTTATGAAAACAATAGGAAATGGAAGCAGGGTATTTGATAAGCTCAATTAGCAGGAGGATCTAATGAAGTGATGACATGCCATCATGACCTCAGGGGTTAAAGATGCAATTTTCCATCTGGCAAGACCTAAATTTCCAATGCAAATACTGACACCACCTGCTGTATGTTACTAGGCATTACCTTGAGCAGTCCCTAAGCATTTTCCTTACCACAAGTGTAGCTTCAAGATTTTTTTCTTATTTCACTCTGCAATGTAACTCCTTCTCCATGAACAGAAATCAAAAATAAATTCTAGATAATGGTTCACTTGAAATAAGCATTAAAGCCATACTAAAGCATTAAATTACCAATCACAGTAATAGTAAAAATATCATGATCATTTTTCTTCTAAGTCACAAATGATGTTGTGCACCTAAGAATCATTCCAATTAACAGCTCCCTATGTACTCATATGTTCTCAATTAACAATCTCTTGCTACTGAAATGGGTACTTGGGGCATGTCTGATAAGAATCAGGTTTATAAAACCCCCTCACAAAATGAAAATTCACTGTGTTTTTAAACTTAATATCGCTCCTTGAGTAACGCAATGGTAAACTCTTTTTAATATTTTACATACCAAGGGCAAGGAGCTCATTTGTGAGTGTTCAGACCCTTAGATACAAATGTTACCAAGAATCATGTTATTAAGCTCTGAGGCTGTATTTTTTATACTCTGAATAATGGATTCTGTAAGCCAGTGATCAGCCAATGAATGCACAGTTCTCACTGTGATTAGAATTGATTAGGTTTGTGTCCTGCAATGTTTACACAGGTGCCACAAGCACCCACAGGCACACACCTGCAGATACAAACACACACACTTAACTATACAGCACTTAACTATAAATCTTAAAGTTTATAGTTTACAAAACTATAAACATAGGTTTGGATACCCAGTCTTGATATTTCATATTGGGCAATCAACAGTAAGCACTGAATCCTTACAACTGTCTGTTTTAACACCTATTTTCCAGGCTGTACTATTTTGTTCTAGTAAAATTAACTTTTCACCATCTGCACCTCCTCCCTAAGCAAATTCAAGTCCCTCATTTTGATCCAGTTACTTCTTAAAGTATTTGGTGGCTATATGGGGCTTCTCTTAATCATTAAGATTTATCTCCCAGGTTATTTCATTTTCTTCCTCCTAGGTAAGCAGGTATTCCAGATATGGGAATGTGTACAATTCATAAGTAACTCAAAACTTACTTGGCTTTCTGAATCCACACACAGTAGTCTGAAATGTAGAGATCATTTAGAATGTAAGCTGGATCGCTTTCCTGAAAAATTTTGTGAATATCCAGTAGACACTTTAAAACTGCACTTTTACCTGAAGAAAATTTAAAAAAATAAAATCATCCTTAAGAAAAAACATCTGACTTTTTTAAACTAAGAAATCCAGACACTGAGAGGTAATATATTTATAGAAGTTCAGAGTGTTAATCATTTTTTAGAATATTTTTAATATTCCTTTATTGCATGAAATTATATCAGTACTACTAGGTTCAAAGCTCGTTCCTTCCTTAAGAATTATGAATAATCCTTATACTCTACTGTTATAACTAATTAATTGTGGATACCATAAAAACACTATGAAACACAACTAGGTATGTTAAACAAAAGGAAGTAATCCTAATTAAACGAATATTTACATGCATCATAACTTTAATTAGATAATGTTCTTCTAATTCAAGCTTTCAAAATACCATGGGAAATTACATTTTTATTTTCAAACTTTGTTATTTCTTATGGTTACATTTTTTTATCAAGGAATTGTCTAGTTCACCTTAAAGAATAAAAGAAAACTCAGACTAGAAACTAAAATATCATAGCACTACTTCAAAAATAAGCTGACAAAATCACTTGGAAAAAAGCCATCAAGTACTACAGTCTTGTTCAATCTAATTATTTCCTCCTGGTTATTAAATGAACCTAATTTTAATCCCAACCAAAGGCTACAAAAGAAACTTTTCACAACTCAACAATTTCCTAGGTGTTGCAAACTTCATGACATTTCCTGAAATTTATTAAATATAAGGCAAATTACTAAATGTACAGTAGTACCACTTCTTTCGAGCTGTAAGTACAGCATTTTCAGTTTAATTGTTTCATTCATTATAGTCCTAAAACATGAAAATACTGTATATTGATTTCATGAAGACACTAGGTGTGCTTTCATCAACATTTCCCACTTGACTTTTAGATATGATAAAAAAAAAATCATGAGCTAGATAATGACATTTCAAGGTACCAAAACTGCTGCCACTAAATTTTTAACACAATTAATATTAGAAAATAAGCTTCAAAAAAGCTGGGACTTCTGTTTTATTTAGTGGTTAATCCCCAATATCTAGAACAGAACGTTGCTCAGATTTTCAATATCAATGCTTTAAGAATGCATGAATGAATGAATGACACAATAATTTCCCATTTAAACCCTTCTAATTATTTCATCCAATAGCCTCACACACCAACTCCTAATGATTTCTCCTTGGAAATGCCCCTAGTAACTGCCCTTTCTCCACCACCTCCTGACCACCCATCCTCACTCATACTCTCATCATCTCATGCCTAGATTATAAAATCTTCTTCCTTATCCCTCGTATTACAGACTTTTTTTCCCTTTTAGTCCGTTGACGTACATTTTTTCATGCATTGCTTTCATCAAGTCACCTCCCCGCACATGCTTTCAAGGCTCTATGGACTTGTCCAGGGTCTTTTTCCCAATGGATCCCCCCTACACCTGGAATACCTTTTCTTCTCCACTTGACCTAATGGAATCCTAGTCTGCCTTGAAGGCCTGGCTAAAGTCTTCATCCTTCAGGAAGCCTGAACTGACTTCCCTAGTCATCAGAGCTCTTCACTAACCCCTGCAAAGGAAAGCAGAGGAAAGGAAACTCAGTTGATCCTCCCCATAGCCTCACCTTCTCATTTCACAGAAGCAGAACCTGAGTTCGGGGACAGTAAGACACTCAGAGTGCCATTGAGTTGAGGGCCCAGGACCCAAATTCTGATCTTACTGGCTCCAGAGGCGATCCACTGTGCTATTCTACCCAGATGTTTTTGGCCCATTCAGTCTATATCACAACACTTTTTATTATTCAAGAGTTAAGTAGGTAGTAAGTTCAAAGCAGGGGCCATGCCTTTTAAAAAGCTCTAAACTATTTATGTGGCTTCCTCATATGCAGCTGGGAAGAATGCCAATAAAAGTTTCATTGCTCAATGGGTTAAGAAAAATAAATAGTCATGCATTCTGAGAAACGCATCATTAGGCGATTTCGTCATTGTACGAACATCACAGAGTGCCTCGACACACAACTAGATGGCACAGCCCACTGCACACCTCGGCTCTGTGGTACAGCCTACTGCTCCTGGGCTGCAACCTGTACAGCATGTTCCTGCACAAAACGACGAGATTAAATCAAGCATCAGAGAAGATGCAATTGACACATGTGGTAAGCACCAGATACATGAGGCCGCTGCCGGTGTAACACGGCTACTGTTTTACAGCAAACTTTTTTTTCGTGAGTAGAGAGTACACTTTAAGTTGACAATAAAAAGTACAGTAAACACATAAACCAGTAACACAGTCGTTTATTATCATTATCAAGTATTATGGACTGTATATAACTGGATGTGCTGTGTTTTTATACGACTAGCAGTACAGGTTTGTTTATACCAGCATCACCACAAACACGTGAGGAATGGGTTGTGCTATGACATTACCATGGCTACATTACTAGGAGATAGGAATCTTTCAGCTCCATTATAATCTTATGGGACCACCGTATGTCCTTGAAAGGTCATTATTGGGCGCATGACTGTACTTATAAAGCCTAAAACTACATTTGGTGAAGTCAAAGTCAGAGGTCTGACTTATCAAAGTGGCCCAGGTTAACTATAGTAAATGATTAGTGGGAATCCTTCTCCCTACTGCAGGCCAATTTTAATTACAAAGTAGACAGTGTTGAAGGCAGAGTTTGATGACAGGAGGAGGAAATACAGTAGGCCCTTGGATAACTTCATTTTGTTGAACTTTGTTTCATTATAACATTGTAGGAACTTAACTCTTGTTTATATCAATTAGCCTATGGTAAAATTGGTTTTGTTATATGTCTTTCACTTAAAGTCACAGAACCTACTGATGATGTTAAGTGAAGATTTCACTGCACAATCAAAACTCACAGAAGCAATGAGACCAAATTAGCCACGTTATCCAAATAGAAAAAAAATCAAGGGAGAACTAACTGAACTATAAGAATTTTTTGAACAGTTTTAATTGCCACCGAGAAGAAAATACAGGGCAAACATATGTCAATTTCTCTCTCTCTCTCTTTCTCTCTCAGTGGGTAGGGTATAGGTGGGAGTTTATTTTTAAGATAACTACCAACTTAAAGTTTTAAAAGTCAACAACAGGTCTTTACAAAAACAAACAAATTTGAAACACATATAAGCTCCCTACAATGTAACATCCCAGAATACTGCCTCTCAGGATCACATACTTACTAATATTGGCAGGTTAAGAGAAATGCAGGATTTGGAGCAGGGCCTCACAGCAAATGAGTGAAGTGAAGAAAAGGGGGTAGGTATGCCAGCCAGTTTGGATGACAGTGTGAAAAGAAGTAGATGTGGGAGTTAAAATGGGGTGGATTCAGGGTATAACAGGAGCAGATGGCTCAAGTAGGGAAATGGGGGGAGTAAATAGGTGAGTTTGGTAGAAGTCAGACTGTGACAAGGAAGGGGAAACGAATGTCATCAGACAGGACTGAGGTAACAAGGCCTAAACATAGGCATGGGCAGTAGGGATAAAAGACCCTACTCCAGAGATTTTAATGAAGAAAGGTATGGAATTCAGGTCACTCACATATTTAACGAGAATCCATAGCAACCAATACCTAATGAAATTATATAGCCTCATTTAGCAGACATGCCTAAAGTTGAGGATGTCCCCTTACTAAGGCCCACAGGCAAATTCAGACCTTCTAGTTACCACAAAAGAATAATAAAAGGAATGTCAAAAGTAATAATTTATTTTAATTTAAAGAGTTTACATTGTATTTGCATGTTTTGATCTATTTTTTTCTTTAAAAAATACACATACACATGGAAAAAACCATTAAATATATATAAACGATATTAACAGTATTTGTCTCTACAGTCATTGAACAAATATGTGAGTGCCTGATGTGTGCCTGACATTGTTTAATATGTGGGATTACAGTTGTTTATTCTTTGTACTTTCCATTATTTTCAAAATTCTCCACAATAAACATATGTTTAACAAAAGGTTAGACATACTTGATTATATAACCAATCCTTGAAATACTGATGAAGAATGCTAAAATATTTAATTCATACTTAAATTCTCTTTAAAATGTACTTTTGAACAACTAAGAAACAATATTTAAATCAGATAGTTTTAGAAAATTACAAAATTACATGGAAGGCAGTTTAGAAACAGAAAGTTACGCACTCTTCAAAAGTTATATTTTCATTGTAAGTCTTATTCAAACTCTTGGGTTGTCGGAAAAGTCATGACGTATTTTTTCTATGTTTTTCATTGCAAAAATGCATCATGACTTTTCCAATAACCCAATACTTTCACAGTATGCTATGTGACAAATAATGTAAAAGATAACTAGGCTACTGGCAGCTGACAATCGAGAACAAAAAGTACATTAAAACAATCCTTTCCACAAGAATGTGTATGTTACACCAAGGTTATATTGATCTCTTTTGTTCCCACTAAATCACCATAGAAGATTACAACATCATAGTCAAGAGACTCAGGAAGCATGCAGCTTCTTTTATCTCTTGTGTACTGACTGCTCTTTCCCTCAAGTTGTCAACTACTTCTCTAACAGCTATCAACAGAGGAAAAACTGGCCCTCCTCCAGGATATCACTTGGCCAGCGGCCAGAAGCCTTTGGGGACTCAAAGGACATGACGGCTCCTTTGGGGCTATGTCCAGTCGTGGGCTCCTCACACATCATATGGTCATAACAAACTGCTTAGGCCTAAATCCAACAGAATGATTTCTGCTCAAGGACACAGAAGGCAAGTGACCATTTCCAGCCAGATCACTGCCTAGTCCAAAGCAGGAAAAGGAAGGCACCTTGCACAGTAACCACGGTAACTTTTTTTACTACAGCAATGAAGAGAGCTATGATATTTAATCTCCAGAGCTAGGGGTTCTCTATGATCGAGACAGTCTGCACTTAAGCCAACCCTATCCACAGAAGAAAGGCTTCTGGGATGAAGATTTCCTGAAGGAGTTTAAAACTAGTAGAAGCACTTTAAAACTAGTATTCTGGTGTATAAAGGACAACT